AGTTGTCTTGAAAGAATTTGCGCTGTTCTCGGAGACGGGGCGGTCCCAGGGCGGCTCCCTCAGGAGACACGTGTCGTGTTTTTGATCGGCTGGGGGCGGTGGTCCTGAAAGTTCATGAGACAGCAGGACGGGGTGGCGTCGGCCGGCTGCTGCTTCTCGGTCGGCTGCCTGGAGCTTGGTCCGGAGCCCCCGCCTCGTTCAGGATGTGGGCGTCTGGGGTTAGCTGGCCGCAGCTGCATCTGGGCTCGCTCTGTCGCTTTCGGTCTGTGGCCTGCCTTCCTTTAATTTAGGACAGGGCAGAATTTACCTCCTGTCACTAAGCACTTCAGGGTGTGTGGCAGGCAGACCCCCAGGTAGAGCAGGTGGGCTTGGGACACAGAAATAGCCTGCCCACCTTTGCCTGGAGGCAAACTTGACACCTGGGTGTGTTTGATTCAAAGCTCCTTCTCTACCCCACCAAAAGGTGAGCTATTTAAAGGTACAGATGATGTGCTCCTTAGCACCCAGCAGGGTTCTGGGCCTGAAGCAGGAGGCAGGTGGAGAGGGGTTTGGGGAAAGGGAGGCCGTGCTTTCTCACGAAAGGTCACCAAACGGACTCGACACCGGGGAACCTCAACACCATCGCTGTCTGGGTGCAATTTTAGGCCGTTTGAAGGGACGGATTAAAATTCTCTAAATACGAGTCGTTAACCAAAGTGCCCAAATCCCCCCGGCCTAATCTCGATTGCAGAAATGCCTTCGAAGAAGGACGCCCCGGGCCGTAGGGCTTACGTAAGCTTCTCCCCGCCCGAGAGCAATCTACCTGCCAGGCTCTGTGTCCCCAGCGTGCTGAGCCAGATGCGAATGCAGGTGTCCTGCGGCGTCCCAGCTGCAGTTAAATATTTCAATTTGGTTTGGAGATTGCGTTTCTTTCTCAGGGTTAGTAAATTTTTTCTTCATTTCCTGCGCTGAGGAAATCTAGGCAATTACTTAATTGCAGAATAATGAGCAATATTTCCACTTTCAAATACGTATTCTCGTCATTTCAATGCGGCAAACGCCAGATTTCCACAAGCAGGAAGAGCTTTTGTTGTGTATCTCTTACTGCGACTTATTTGAGCGGCTTGAATTTTACGCCTAAAGATTTTTCTTTTGTTAATTTGTTGTTTGTTGTTACTGCTGCTGTGCATCTATTCCCGGGAGGTTTTGAAAGGACAGCCACCTCTATATAAACGCTTGGCACCTGAGTGACTCACATTCAAGAATGCCTGCTCCCAGCCCCCAGCAGTGGGGCTTCTCCTAGCCCTGAGATTCCGTCCTGGCCGCCATCGTCCCTTCCTGCCCCAGCCGCTGCTACCTGGGCCCACTGGCTCCAGACCAGGGGACCTTGGACTGGGCTGGGGGCTTACCCAGAACCTCTGGCTCCTGACTTTTATTAATTTATTTTTTTATTTTTTAGGCGAGGCAACCCTTGGCTGACCTCACAGATTGCAAGGACCCCATCAGCTTACTATCCCTTATTTTTCTATTGTTTATGCCTACAGCACCTGGTCTTCCTAGGTGGTCTCCCATCCAAGTACTAATCAGGCCCGACCCTGCTTAGCTTCCAAGATCAGATGGGATCGGGCTTGTTCAGGGTGGCATGGCTGTAGACTCCGGCTTCTGACTTTTGCCTGAAATGGACTTTTGTAATCTGGGGTAAAACCGCACAACCTGTGCGCCATATTTTTTTCAATGAGAAAGCATTATGCAAATTATAAGCACATGACTGATTTACTAGCTCGTGGAGCTCCACCCACTAGCGTTTGCTCTACTTTGTGGAGACAGGTGAGGCTGGAAGGGAGCCTGGGTGAACTTCAGCGAGTTGTGCTGAAAGATTTTGACACACACACCCCCCGAGGGGAGGGGGTCACGACTTCATTAGATTTTCAAAGAGCTTTATGAGCCCTGAAGACAAGCCCAGAGCAATAAACGGCCCTTTAATTGAATGATTTTGCTTGTAAGTTCTTTTTAAGAGGGACTCCGATTTAAATACAACGCTTGCTTCAGTGTTTCTTCAAGCTGATCCTAAGTTTGTCGACGCATTTTATATGCGAGAGACGGGAGGGGGAGAGAGAGAGACAGAGAGAGAAGACATGTTATCTCGTCTAATGATTTTGACAAGCTGTCACAGTTCAAACCAACTGTAATTTAATAACTCACGTTCATGCATCGCCCTAATTCTGAGCTCTCAGTGGACTGGAGAATTCTGGGTGAGGCTACACTCGGGCTTCCCTGCCTGACCGCTGTCGCCTGAACGCCATACCCCAGGGCTATTGGGTTCTGTCACAGTACAGGCTGGAGAAGCTGGAGGTTTTCCCCGTGTGGACAGCTGTGTCCCACACCAGTGAACCTGGTACAGCAGAGACCTGGAGGGTCTCGGCCTGTGTCCTGGGTCTGGGCCATACACACACACACCTCAGGCAGTTTGTGACCCCCAGTGGAACAGCAGCACGTCCCACCGCTGGACAGGTGGCTGAGGTGGCTGCTCTCCCTAAGCCTCCGCAGCCTTCCCCGGCGAGGATCTAGGGGTTGCCCTGCTGAGCAAACGGAGCAGCAGAGGGGGCCGGGGTGCTGGCAGCTGAGGGGACGAGCCAGGAGGTCAGTGCCCTCCCTTAGGGCTTCCCAGCTGTGCAGTAACAGCCCCGCTTCAAGGCTGGGTGTGCACCAGGAGCCAAGTGTCCTTGTGGTGCCCAGGGCCTCTGAGATGCCTGCTGACACCTGGGTGTGGGTCAGAACGTGTGCACACACAGAGTGTCCATTAATTCACTTGGAGGAGGGACAGCTTATAAGCGCTGGAGGTACTGCAGATGTCATCTCGCCCAAAGTGCAGCAGGAGCTTTGTGGGTCTGGGTTTCACGCTGGTCTGAAGGCTGGAGTGTTCTCCCTACAACTGGGGGGGCCCGCCCCCCCAGCAGAGGGGAGTCTGTGCCCCCTGCACACAGAGCCTCGTCACCGCCCCCCCACTGGCGGCTGCTCTTCCTGTAAACCCTGACCTGTGCCGCAGCTCTTTCTGCCAACCCACTCTGTCTGGATGAGCTGGTAAATGCCAGGGGACACCTGTCTCTTCCCGGTGTGTGCCCACTCTCCTCGGCGGGTTCCGAGCATGAGCGAGTGCACTGGGAAGGCCTGCTGGTCCACACACCCTGCCCCTCGCCCCGCCCCG